TTGCATTGGGATGGTTGTGGTAAAAGGTGGTGATATTAAACTTTTACCGTAGCCTTACAGTGTTTAGGCGAGGCGCGGTGCTGGACAATCGACTTGCCAGAATCATGCTGTAATCTACCGTATGGTGCTCATGGTGCTGTACTGTACCGGATGAAGTTGCGCCTCTTCCGGTGCGTCGTTGCAGAAAAAACGCGACTTCGATCCGGCAACCTGGGTGCTTGTACTAACCGGTCAAGCTAGTGCTACCGGTCCCTGGCCTGCTTGCTCTCTTGCTGGTACAAGTACGGTCAAACCTCGCTGTCCCGTATGAAATGCCGTGGATTCAAAATAATTTTGTACCAAATCTTGACCCATTGTCCCGGATCACTCGTTGTCCCGGATAGATTCTTCGGATTTGGTGGTCCGGGATAGCCAGGTGCGACTGCACTGTACGAGTGTAACCATCTCATGCTTTTCTCGCCTGGTCCTTATGGTAGGGGGGGGGGGGGGGTAGCTTTCCCACTCCACTGGTTAGGACCCTCTTCTGGGGACCGCGAACCAAGAATTCCGTCTGATGTCTCTCTGATCAGGAGATTTTACGGAGGGTAGTCCGGTCGCTGGCCCTGTGATGTCCTATCTCATCACCCCCCAGAGTGAAGGGAGGGGAGAATGGGAAAAAAAAATCCACCCACTTCCAAGGTCTCCCAAAGGCGAATGAAAAACTCCGTCATCACTGCAGACTCAATCAGCTGGCACATTTTCTCGCGCTCTCTCTGGTTGTTATTGCCCCTTCGCCCCTCTTTCAAGATCATGGGAAACTGCCGAGCACTCTCACAGCTCCCAAGTTGCTATTATTGCGATCTAGACCTGGCTAGACCCGGCTTATTCGTTCCTCCCTTTGTTGGTGAAATCACAGTGTAAGTCAGGTACGTACTTTTGGTTGTTGCAATTGTTGTGTTATTACCATTGTTGGAGTTGGGGAGCTGCGGAATTGTTCTGCCGCTCCATGTCTTAGAAAATGTGGTGGGTAAGGGCGGGAAGGGCGAAAATTTCGCTGTTCCCAATGTGGGATCGCACGTGCAGGTTGTGCTTCTCTTGCTGAAATCAATCCGCTCGAAAAGGGTTTGCGGTCTTCGCCATACCTTAAGTGCCAGCGTTCGCCCACGCTGCAGCGACGGATAATATGTGAGCGGAGATCTCATATATTCACGTTCCATTCGGTACCTTTCTGGAGCCTGATTGCATGAAGGGGCAGCATTTGCTACTAAAAATATCCTTTAGAGATGCGCAGTCTACCGATGCCTTCCTACCGAGCCAGTGTCGGCAGTGAATTGCGATCAGTCGTTTGCTCTGCAAATTATCTCGGGCGAGTTGGTCGCTCGACACCGATCTATTTTCATAGCCTATCGGATGCTATAAAAAGAAAGAAAATCGTTCAGATCTCGGCCCTTTCGCACCGCCTCTCAATCAATTGTGGGGCCGGAGGTCATTGACGTCCGATTAGGGCCGGGCATAGCCTCGGAAGGGTGGACAGCGATTTTGGACAGCAACTCTGGGTCAGCGGCTGAAGAAAAAAAGAAAAAAGGAAAAAGGAAAAAGGAGGTGTGCCGTATCAATGGTGCGGACCAAAGTTTTCCCTGCCATCAGGTTGGGGCCTGGATTGGTTGTGTCTCAGATGACTTCAACCGCGCGACGTCTCAGATCCAGTAGTGGAAAGTTCTTCACCACAGGACAAATTGGATCCTGCAGACCCTAAACAGAACATCGAAAAATGGGGTTATCAAAGAAAACCCAAGTTCAACTTTAAGGGGGGAAGAAAAAAGGAAGAAAGGGAAAAAGAACAACTCAATCTTTAGATGTATCATAACTCCAGCTTCTGTTAGAAAAGGCATAAGCTATCACTGACATCCTAGGCTGAAGTTGGTTCGGTAAACCGGATGCTTTGCATTCATGTTTCTTCGCTACAGTCTTTATGCTCAATTCGTAGGGTATCATACGGTATAACATGATAGAGCTTGCACTTTGCACCTTCCGATATCAGAGCGATTGCGATCATATTACGAAACTCTTGTTCTTCGGTTGGCGCACCGCACTGATCCACAGAAGATAAAGCACCAGTTGCCCAATCTGATCGGTGAAGGCGACTACAGGGCCCATGGCTATTGTGTGGCAAATCTTTAAAGGTCTCAATGCTAAGGGCAGTTAGCAGCTATTGCAGGCTGCTCAAGCATTAGTTGATAGCATGGGTACTTCTTGGGAATACGGAGCCGATAATCTCAATCCACGATCTACTGATGCTAGCTGATTGATGCATCTCTGGGTGCTGCCGTAGTAATTTGTCCATCAGGGCAACGATATATCAATTGAAGGTCCGAGCAAATGTCTTGAGCAACAAATATATACGTGGTTATCGGCAAACGGGGAGTTCTGCTTGGACTGCGGGGTTATCCGAATAACGAGCATGCGTGCCATATAACCCCCCCTCCTCTGACGCCCATACAGTAGTGTCCGCTGTCGATTGTGGGAAGAGGACTACTCGACACCGAGTCGCAGGGGATAGGTCTCTTGAGTAGGCACACTGGCCACCCAATAGCCTGCCACCCAGAGGTCTCTCCTCCAGTTTGAGACGAAATCGGAGGCTGGTGGTTATGCACCCTGTCGGGGCATGTGCGACTGTCGGGGAGCAGCCGTGGGTGCGAGCCCAATCATGGCCCCACTGGTGAGTGGTATTTGCTCGCTTCCGAAGCCCGTCTTGCTAGAAGCATTACTATCGGTAGTCGGATAGATGGAGAAGTGAATAGGCTAGCAGTAGCATGCAGGACAGCTAGGCGGTTAATCATTGGAAGTGTTATATGGAAGGGGTGAGCACAAACGAGAACGAGGGTTGGAGGTCTCGCTTGAGCAGAAGGAGGAAATGGCTTCCTTAGAGATAGTTTTTAGATCTCCAACTGTTGGCTGGTGGTGAATTACGAAGGGGGGGGTACTAGGTTGGAAGCTTTGGGGATGCGGGGTTGCGTGGACTGCGTTGTTCGTTCCTACTGTACCAAACCTTACGACCAAGCAGTGAGCTGTTGCTCCTGACTACAGTAGAGTACGATACGATGCGCGCACCAAAGAGCAGCGTAGTAACAAACAATTTGCATATCAGACATGCCTGGGCGAGCAACATCTGTAGCGGTTTGTGATAGACTAAAACATATAAAGACTCAGCTGCATCACTTCGCATGGCTGTGCCAGCACGAGCCCAAGCACTATCTCAGCATTCATCCATTCGTGGACGAGAAAGTGGGCTCATGGCTGATATATACGGTAACTCTAGATTCAACGGGAGAGACACGTGGAGACATTTTGAGGTCATGTACACAACTCAAAATCGGAAGGTTTAAGCACGTGGTCCGGCTGCGACTTTGTACTACAAAGCGCTTCTTGCACAGCTCGTGGGATGAGGCGATATTCCTCTACCCGAGAAACCACGTTGTCGGTGCAGAAGAGAAGAGCGCTCTCCGAAGTGCTTGCTTCAAGCCCCCCAGACGATTCAGGGTTCCTTGAATGGAGTCGCCCCAAACATTGGCGTGGGGGATGCTTATCAGCGACACGATACCGGTGGGAAGCATGCGGTAGGCTGGGAGATGGCGGTTCTCTGGAGCTTAGTCGGGGCAGGTACAGTCGGGGAAAGGGCTTGCGAGCCGGAATGTTGGGATTGGTGGCTTGAGCAAATTCTCCCCATGCTTCGGCTGCACCGACGATTTGGTGATGATCTGGAGATTGACGAGACAAGCGCTGGCGAAGGATGTCAGGTTAAGGAATTCCGGGGGAGAGGATTATGATGCAGATTACGGTGTTATCACCATTTTACCCTCCTCATTTTCTGGTAACGCCATGGCGTGGGCACAGCACTACCCTACCCGTACCCATACTTGTGCAAGTGGTGTACAGTACTGCACTCGTATAGGTACATGTGCGAGACCCGGAGGGCATGGCTGATGCTTGGAGGGAGGGGCCGGGTTGGATCGCGGAGCGTACTCTCACTGGTATTTGCTGCAGGCCAACCAAAAGCTTCGAAGAGGCGTTCGCCTTTTTCCCCTCCACCAGGTATTCGGGATGGGGGTTCGGTGGGATGGAGTGCTGCACCCACCATCCAACCGTCCGTTCTCTCATTAGACATTGCCACAATAGCGCCTTCAACCTGATCTAACACCGGTACCAGTACTCGAGTACGGTGGGTCACTACGAGTATTAAAATTGCTCCAATTGCCATTCTGGCCCTACTGGCGCCATGACCTAATTTCTGGTATCGTGAGACTGCTGGTACAGTACTCGAGTACCGTACTAGTACGAGTACTCTGGGCTGAATGGTCTGCTCCTGCTCGTCATGGGAACGGAGGGCACTGCCAGCAATCCTCTGTTGGAATATCTAAGACGATGTCTTGGATGTCGTTATTATCTTACATGACTTGCGTGGCTCCCCTGGCCCGCTCGTTTGCTCTCTCGTTCAGTTCCAGCGACAAAAATCAGAATCCAAGCGGATTCCAGACCTTCTATTCAACACTCTTGTTCAGCCCTTTCCGTCACATGCGCTGTGTATGCACCTGTAGCAGAGTGGATGCAATAAGTAAACAGTGCCCCGGAAGTACCAATACATCAAATTTTCCAGGCGGTGTTGGGGTGCGCGAGTGTTTTGTGTCAGGATCGAACCATCCTAGCCTCCACGGAAAAATGATCAGCGCAATTCTCTGATGTCTCTCCTCGCTTGGAGGCCGCATACCGGTATTAACTGTACCGTACAAGTAGCTTATTCTACACATTACTGTGCTCGAGTACGCCAAAGTGAGCAGAGGTCTCGAATGCGGATTCCCCTTCAGGTGGGCTGCCCAACCTTCGCCATCCTCTACCGTTCGATGCCGTACACACGTAGTGGATACGATTTTCTGTGGTCGTACTCGTTTGTTTGTTTCGTTGCACAACATTCCCCTCACCCCTCTGGTTCCCCTCTCACACACTTACCGTACCTTCCCCCCCCCATCATCCAATCCGGTCAGCTCTTTGGAAGAGATGGCCGGCGGCTGTTTCATCGCCGCCGTCGGGGCGAGGAAAAACAAAACAGGGAAGATAAACCGCAGCCGAGCGGCCCCCGACCGCCCAACTGCCGCACAATCATTGGTTTGTCTCCCCCCTTCTGGGTTCAATTGAATGTGGGGCACATATCGGGGGAAGAGTATGAATTTTGCTTTTGGGTGGCAAGCTTTCATGTCTTTCCCCTTCAATCGCTGTTGCTGGCATCAAAGGGTAGGATTGTCTTGAATCCTGAAACGAAAGAAGTTTCTAACCAGTTTGTTAGAGAACTCTGTTCGAATAATTACCTGTCGCTTTTCCTTCGTGGGAAATTTGTTTATGTCGAATCGACGATTCCGCTCGCGCGATTTTCATTCGAGCTTGCCCCGAGTCGTTTGATATGTCAAAGGGATTGGGATAAGCGTTCACTCAATGGTAAGTTCCGCTATTGTATGTCTAAGATTTCTTCCTCATTGGTCGCAGCGTGAATTGTGTTGCCCAGAGATAGCTCTATTACCAAACTCGGTTTACCATCTAATTTCGTGCAATGTCTCTCGCCCCGTCTCATAGGCTTCCCCTTTGCGAGCTGCCGTTGCTTTTTTTCTCCCATTTCCAACTCGAAAGTTATCCCCAAGCGAGGCACTGTCGACTCTTCGTACAGTACCGGTAACAGTTTTGACACTGACATCGCGTGGTAGCTGCGTGGCAGCCAAACCCGTTTCCAGACGGTAAAGACCCACCTGCGGCTTGAGGGGGGGGGGAAGGATTTGGGGAGGGGGAGGATCTGGATTCGAATCTGTGGTGAAAGTATTTGATCCCTGGCACTGTCAGCGCATATCATTTCCATGGTCTCGCAGAAATTTTCTCAAGTTCTCGATTTGTGGGCCGGGGAGGCCGGGAGAATCCAGGATAAACTGAGATTCGGTTCCTCGTCCAATGAGGTTAGGTCTCAGTTGAAGGGGGGAAAAAAAGAAAACGGGGAAAAGCAATCAGAGACACCAACCAGAGGGCTCTAATATGTCTCAATTGTTGATTAACTACCTTACCGCTTTTGTCAAAAGGATATGCACGCTGCAGAAGCTTTGTACTACGTTGGGATTTAAAAGGAGGCTAAAAAAACACAGGGCTATGAGGAGGCACGGGGCACAAAGGAAGAAATGAAGAAATAAAGAGACAAAGGGACTTTTTTTATTGCTTGTTCGCTACTTGCCAGGACCGAAAGAGCGTTCTGCAGAGCCGAGCTGACGGACGCGATTAGGATAAGGTGAATACGATGGATAGAGTAAGGGTCGGGCAGAGCATAGTAGAGTGAGCAGAGTGCCCAGCTTGCTAATAACTTGCTCCTTTGGGAGGACAGCGCGGTACCGACAGCAAAAGTATGATTAACCGAGGGGAAGACTAACCTATCCTTTTCTCCCCTCTAGAGCTTCGGTTACCCATAATATATTCAAGTTTTTTTAGTACCACGGCACAGTACAGATATGATACTATCCTTTTTTCTTTCTTCGCACGACGCTTCTGTGTTCTTGGGAGGACCGGGGAGCGGAGGAGGAAGAGTGGCATTAGGATTGTTGGCTGGATCGGACGGGTGACGGGCGATGAGTGCAACCATCACTCATTCCCATTCCGATTCCCATACTGTACTCGCTCCCCTCTCTCTCTTTCTCGCTCCCTCTCCCCCCTCACTCACTCACTCTTCTTCCCCTTTACCATGTTGTACCAGTACTCCTTCTCCCATTGTGCTGTGCTGTATGCGATGACCGAAAGGTGCAATCGCACCAATTCTTGTACGACGCACAGTTCCGGAGAAGGAGAGACTCCACGTTGTTATGAGCTCGTCAAAGCAAAATCGAACCCATGTCTGAGACTTGCATGATGGGAAGTGTTTCTCACACAGCCATCGCAAGCAGTGACCACCCACCCATCTGTGCAGGCTGGCCAATCACATCGAGTCCCAGTAACCTAATTCTCGCCATTCCAGACCCATCGCTCGAGAGACCATACCCAATCTCGCATCGCCAAGGACGCCGGCCGCCAGCATTCCCTGCAAAGGATTTACTTCTCCAGCACCTTGCGCCTTCGCATCGAAGCGGCAGTACAGTACGCTACAGTACCGTACCGTCCTTGTACATTTTCGCAAAGGCTCAGATTCACGCGAGGGGATCTGCTAAATTGCCTCTCCCATTTTGCTTAAAGTGTGGCAATTCGGAGAAGGGGGGGGGGTCGTTCTTGGTGCCCTCGCGTTGGCTCGGTTGCCTTTAGCACCAGTCCGACTCCTACCAAGAGATATGCTACGATACTCGACTCTGGACCTTAGTATTGGTCTAGATTTCTGTTTCCCCAGAAGCAAGGTGGGGTCCTAGGGAGGCAATACAGGGCCGAAATACCGGTACTGGTTGGCACTTGACAGGCATACCATACCGTATTCCGGATTCTGCACGAACGCTACGGACCCGACCGCAAGAGCATTTTGCTCCCCGCCCTTTGCTTTCTCCCACCCCCCCTTTCTGCCACTTTGGTTGCTCGGATACGAATTTGGTATCGCATTGATACGAGTGCAATATCGATGACATTACAATAGGCTACATCGCTTTGCCTCTTCCTCGGAAGGAGCTTTTTTATTTTCCCCTCCTTTAATTTTTTTATTCATTTTTCTTTTTCCTTCCCATCCCTTCTTCCCCATGGTGGCCCTAAACCTTGGAGAAGAATGTCCTAATTTGGTCTTAATGGAGAGAGTTTTTCCCTTTCCCACCAACCATTTCGTAGGGCCGGCCGGTTGCTTGTTTCGTCCCATCTCTTCTACATCCGTAACATGCAGTGATAATGAATAGGGTAACAGTGTACGGTTTTCGCCATGTGTTGGTGTGCCTGCACCTGAGTGAAGATGAGGAAGCGGTCTGCTCGGTTGTGCAAAAACCTACCGTACTGTCTTTGCCTCACGAGGGTTTCTTTTCTTTTTTTCCTTTTTTTTCTCCTTCTTCTCTTCTTTTTCTCGGTTTTCCCCTTCTTCTTTTTTTTCTTCCGGGCCTCCTTCCACGCTCTCCTTGTTTACCCTTTCTTTTTCGTTTTTTAACTTCAAAATTCTTGCGTATCAATGGTTCCTGTTTCTGAATTCATGGTGCATCGTAACATAATGTGGTATGCAGTAAAAGTCCTCCTCGAGCATCAGATTTAACTTGCCTCCCCCCACCCCCACCCCAGTTGCGCGTATCACGCCAACCCCATCCCTCATCCCTACATTCAGCACGGCACTCGTACTCTACGGTACCTCTCCAGTCGGATTACCCAGATCTCTCTGTTTGGGATAGCCTAGCATTCAATCAATTGATCCTCTGCTGGGATAGTTACACCCAGATATCGATTAGGGTAGCCCGTCCTACGCTCGGCTACTGCCATACATAAAGTCAATTCCGTCAATCACATATATCCATCCATCCTATCCCGGGCGCGCCAACACCACCCGTGAACCCAATACCGCTCCATTCAGGCCTTATTGTCTCACCTCGCAAAAGTCAATCAAAACCGAGACCAGCAGGCAGGCAAGAGTGACAAGGGGGTCAGATTCCAAGCCGTCCCTATAGCCCACCATTTTGTACTCCTCTCCCTCTCCCTCTCTGCTCTCCCCACCCTGGTCTCCCCGATTTCAATCCCCTGAGGGATCCAGCGTTCGCCCCTGTCTCTCTCTCTACACTATCTGCAGGATTTTTTTACCTCACCATTACCCCCCCCCCCCAGTCCCAGCCCGCACTCACGCACAGGCTACAGTAAGACATTTGTCTTCAGTCTCTGAGGAGTAAGGTGGGAGGAGGAGCAGCAGATAGGAGCAAGCAAGAAGCAAGCAACCAACTGGGGGAATTCAAGCATCACTGAGCTTGCTATTTCCACGATTCAATTGCGGTTCGGAAAACCCTCACACACTTTCCACGCCCACACGTTTTTGGGTTGTGTGCCCATCACCTGCCCTGATTCTCTTTTCTTATTTTTTATTTTCCTCTCCTGCGTCTTCTCTCTCTTCCCTTTTCCCCTTCTTTCCTCCTTCACATATAGCACCTCTCTCTACTCGACGCTAGTATATATCTTCAGAGGCGCATCCATCTATCCAGCCATTTCCGCCAGCCATCAAATAGCCTGGGACGACCTCCAATTCCAAGCTTCCAACTCCACCCAGCTCTCCGGCTTTTGATTGACACTTGATAAAGCGAAGCCTTTTTTGTCGTTTACGAAACCGGTTCCTGCCTCGATACCATTCCTTCGGGTTGTCGCTTCTTCTCGGTAGATCCTTCACCAAAAAGGCGTACTCGGCAACATCCAAAAAACGTGGTGATCGCCACTCCCTACTCCCTTTGGACCAAACATCAACAATTATCACCTCTACCTCATCTGCCACACCCCCTACCACCTGTGTCATTATTGTTCCCATCCACGCACTCCCCGCATATTCATCCTGCGTCCTTGCCCACTGCCCCGTTTCCCCTTTAATAGCATCATACACCTGCACCCGTCTTCACACAACAGATATTTTCTCCTCCACTGCCACTCCACCTAACCTCTCCGCCCTCCAACAACCGTCCAACAGCCAGTAATTGAGGTATGTATTATATTGCACTTCTCCTAGCTTCCAAACCATCCCTATCCACCACTATCATTGCCCATCTTCATGCTTCGTCATGACTTTTTATTTTATTTTATCTTATCTTTTCCCTCCCCTTCTGTCCCTATCCCGCTGTTGTCGGTTCTTTGCCGCTGTCGTCCACTTGGGTTTAATGTCATTGACTCGAGTGATCCGGCAGCCTGTTGCATCCACTTGCTGAGCTATCTCAACCTCCGCTTCTAAACCCCAGCCTCCGAGGCGGCTGCGCTATATACCCCCTCCCTCCTAGGGGCATTCTCTATCAAAGTCTTCACCACGGCTACCCTCAGTTACCCCCCGTTCTCACGGGAAACAGTTTCGCCGCTCCAACTCTTTATTCCGCCAACACCCCAGTCTTCCTACCCATCGCCGACCCTGAGCGCGGCCGACAGGTACCAACTGCCCTCCCTGGATCCCTCCCAGGGCCCGCAAGCCCACTATTGGGGAGGAAGCTCCTCGGGAGCTTCCTCTACTACTGCCACTTCTCCCTCGATTTTGGCACCTTCCCTAGTTTCAAATACTTCGCCACCTTCGCTGTCGTACTTACAATCTGCGCCCTTTAGCTACCAATCCTCAGTCACCAGGACCCTTCCCACGCCGCCCACCACGAGTGACGCGGAAGCAAGACCTTTCCCTCCCCCAGCCCGTGAAGAAATCTCCAACCTGGCTGCCACATTAGCACAGAGCTCCTCGTTGATGAGCACTCACGACATGTCTTCAGGCCTTGCTGCGCGAAGGCAGCAACATCCACTTCCCCAGTTCCATCTCAACACCACCCGAGCACCCTACTCAAGTTTTGGCGGTAATAGTGTACTTACTCCTCCACCAATGGGGCCCAACGAGGTGACGAGTCCATTGAGCAGTGGTGGTAGTAGTGCTGGGACGGTATCTGCCATGGGTCCGTTTTCCCCGGTTGGTTATTGGCCCGCTACCTCGAATAGTTCGCCTTATGGTTACGGCTCAGCCTCAGCAAATGCTTCGTACACGTCGGGAGGAATACAGAATTCCACAAACTCGAGCTTTGGGGTTAGAGGGTTTACGTCGCCCGGCGTAACGTTGAACAGAGGAAACAGCAGACCCTCAAGCCCTGCCACTGGGGAGTTGGTTCATCCCCCTGGTTTTGAAAATTCGTCGCCTTATACAAGCGGGATACCCATCTCGACTAGTGCTGGGGGCCACCCAATCGCTGCGGGAGCTGGGCCAGGTTTACCTTCGATGGGGCCGGGGTCGAATGTCCACAGCAGTTACGCTGCTGCCTACGTCCAACCAAGTCAGCATTCTAGCCAGCCCCACCCCCCAATGGGTAACCAATCACAACAAAGTCACGATCCCTACTCCCCACAAGGTTCGCTACCCCCTCCGACCCCCTCGCAACCCTATTACGGGCAACAGCAACAGCAACAACAACAACAAAACCTCCAAATGTCGCCCGCGAACATGATGGGCAGACAGATGAATCCTGTGCCCCATTACCCGTCGTTAGTTCCACTGCAGCCGAACTACAAGCCTCAATATTCTCTTCCAGGGGTAGGTGGAACAGCTATGAGTCCAATCCTACACGGACACGCAGGCCCGATGGCCCATTATCCTGGCGCGCACCATCAACAGCAACAAACCGAGCGACCCTTCAAGTGTGACCAGTGCCCTCAAAGCTTCAATCGAAACCACGACTTGAAGCGGCACAAAAGAATCCATCTGGCTGTTAAGCCTTTCCCCTGCAACAACTGCGAGAAGAGTTTCAGTAGGAAGGACGCCCTAAAGGTGAGAGCCGAGTCCTACAATGGCCGAGTTTTTGAGAACATCGAACTAATAACGTGTTGCAGAGGCATCGCCTTGTTAAGGGATGTGGAAAGAATGACCATCTTCAAGGACAATCTTCGCCTGCTGCTGAACAGGATTCGAAACTATCGCCTAGTCTCTCACCAGTTAGCACTAGAAACCCTGCCCCGGGACCAAACACCAGCCCACCAGGGAGCGCTGGTGGTATGATAAAGCACGGCTAACTAATAATATAATACCTTGACAACTTTTCACCTATCTCTCGGTTCTTCGAGATTTGTAAACTATAATATTTTCTTGGTGGATACCCTTGATATCTTTCGTCCATTGTCGTTATAAAGACCTTATCCTTTCGGTTCTCTTACCACATGTTCATTCTTCGCATTTGTTTTCGGCATTTATGTGTCCATGGGTGCAACTCTTTGCTCAATGTGTGGGTAGCGTTTTTTTCTTTTTTGTTTTTATATATCTATTTCATGTTAAAATATTATGGGAGGCTGGAGAATTTCGTGTTTTTCTCGGCGGAATGACTAGCATGTTTTTCTGTCTTTCTTTATATGTATGCAAAAGGCGCTTTTCTTTTGGTGTGGGCCGCGGTTGATTTTCAGTATTTTTCTTCTTTCCTCTCTATTTATAATTCCTTGGGCTTTTGGATTTTGATTTCCTATGGGGGCTGGTAAAGTCACGTAATCTTTGGCTTTGCTGTCGATATATCATCCGTTCTATTCATCGATTGGTCCACATTTCGCTTTCTTCATACAATTGGGTGAGGCAAACAGCGGGAGGGAACGGGATTTAGTGGTGTTGTGTGTTTTATACCTGGGGTCCGAGGGTGTTTGAGTACCGACTGATGGTATCACAACATGGCGGGGCCTTATCCTGTTTGCTTGCAATGATGGCGATGTTCAGTGTTCCCAACGGGCTAGGCCACTGATAGACCAGGCCAAGGCAGGCCGCTCCGGCAATGAGCCTAGGCGGGCGGGCATAGGCCGAACCCGGTCAGCCTACAGAAGCCTATCACTATCAGGCCTGGTAGGAGCCTAGAGGCCTGTATACGGGATTTCGAACTGGTTGTTTTAAGGGTGGCTCGATTCTTTACAACTTTTGCTGTGGCTTATCATGAAATTTTCACCTATATCCTCAGTTGTTGGTCGAAGTGAAGAGATTACAAGCCCGGCTTCATAGGACAGGCTAGGCCAGGCCACATAGCCTATCAGGCGGCAGATATTAAGCCTATATACCGGTAGCCTATGGCTGGGCCTGGCCTAGGTCTTCCAAAGCATGAGGGTTCCGGCTAGGCTAGATCCCCGATAATTGGGGTAGGTTGGGCTTGGCTTTTGTTTGGCTTGGCCTACTTGGCCCTTTGGGAACACTGGCGATATTGTCTGGGTGTTCGAAGACCGGAGGACGGAAGGGGTAGCCCTTTCGGTGATTCTGTCGCTGCAGTACAGCGGGGGGCAAAAATACGTTCACTTGTTAGTGGTTGCTACCTACCACTAAAATGTGAACGTATTTTTGCCCCCCGCTGTATCCTGGATCTCGAATTATTGTTGTATGATATGGTTGGATTACCATCGGGGATGGTAAACCTCGCTGAGGAATTTGCCAACATTAGGACATTGATTGATTGATTGATTGATTGAGTTAGGGTCTGTTTGGACACGACCGCTCCGTTCCGTTCACCAATACAAATTGCCTTACGGTTCCGTTAGCGAACAGCCATTTCGTATGGGCGAACGGAACGGAACAGTCGTGTCCAAATAGACCCTTAGGACTTGGGGGTTATGGGATCAGGTGATACCTTTGATCAACTGTACAGTACGGTATGATAGGTGATGCTCTGTATCCGCGCTGTGTAATGGGTCGACTCCCTGGCATGCTACTGTGCTGGTGTTATCCACAGGAATTCTTGACATTCCTACTCATGCGGAGGGGAGATAAAGATGCGTTGTGTCGTGTCTTCGCATTTCTCGGTTGCTCTCTCGTTTAGGCGTGAGTGAGTGAGGCTCTGTGTGGCGGAAGATCTGCGCAACGAAATGCTAACCTTACCAGGTTTGGACAACGGGTGTCCGTGCACATCCCTGGTTATGGCGCTGGGATGTCGGGTGATCGCCGCAATCCCTAATGTGACATTGAAGTTATAGTGGAATATTTGAAGGCATTCCTGTCATGAGGAATTCACAGGGCAAGTATGCAAAGTGTGTATGTGTATAGCCCTCCTTCTGTGAGCGTTTGCAGCTGACATGACACTTTGCTTATGGAATGTTCAGGAGTGGATCGTTTTTTGGCATTGGTAGTATAGTTCTGTTCTGGGTTGCCCTTCCCCCTCTGATCTATCGGCTCACTTGGTAATCTCTAACCTCCATCGTGAGAAAAACCTCTTCTCTAGATAATCCATGGGGAGTTGATACCTCAACTTTTCCTTCCTTTCTTTGTCTTGTTTTTGTTCGGCCCATTACACTCCTTTGCGCTGAATTGAATTTTTCCCTGTTGCCTTTCCGTCGATCTTTAATATTTTTCTCTAATTCCTTCAATTGTATTTTTTCACCCTCATTCCTTAACCCTTTGTTTTTGTTTTCCTCCTTCGTCGTCACCCTGTCCTGTCGTAACCGTATTTTTCTTGCACGTTTACGTTGGCATAGGTTTGCGGGCTACACCACCAATTCGGTGACTGGCCTTCTGCGCATGAACTCAAGAAACAAACTTCCAGGACAGCTTCCTTCCTCCCTCCAAGACACCCCCCGTCCCTTCTTCGCACAAACACTTATTATTCCTTCCCTGTCAAATTGATTAATTTTGTTCGCTGCAGTAACGTATTTCCTTCCACCGGTAAGTACTACTTCCGCCCTTCTCCATCCTGGGTTGATTGCTCACAGGGGCGGTTCTAATGCTGGACCATAGGTCAAACTCTGTTGTAATATTCTTATAGACTAATACCCGCCATGGAGTCTCGTGGCAGAGGCGATCGAACCTCGTACAGAGGTTCGCGGAGACCTTTACAGGATACGTCCGTTAATGTAGCTTATTCGTCACCAACTAGAGTACCGGCTCCACCCAACTACTCCAAGCCTCGGGAATTCGATGGGCAGGACCAACAGCAGGCCACTCAGCAAACGTCGACTCGATCATACAAGCAGACCGACTCATATGAGCCTCCTGGGACTGGAGAGCGTGTCGAGGTTATCTCCTCGATCTCCGTGGATCCCCCATCCTCGCCCCCAATCCAGAAGCCGGACGCACACCCTGCTAGAGTTAAGGCACAGGTCGGCCCGTGGCTCCTTGGGCGTACTCTGGGAAAAGGAAGCAGTGGGAGAGTTAGACTGGCTAAGCATGTCGAAACTGGTCAATTCGCGGCAATCAAGATCGTTGGCAAGGGGAATGATGAGGTTGTTGGAGAAGGTGGGCAGGAGAGACCTCTGCCGCCGGGCTTGGAGCGAGAAGTGGTTATTATGAAGTTGATTTGCCATCCGAATGTTATGGGTCTGTGGGATGTTTGGGAGAATCGTGGAGAACTGTAGGTCGGCCTGCTGCACAAGTGGGGGGCTACTGATGCTAAAACAAACAATCGATAGTTATCTTGTCCTGGAATACATCGAAGGTGGTGAACTCTTCGATTATCTGACCCGTCGTGGTCGTCTTCCGGAACCTGAGGCTATTATGTACTTTCGCCAAATTCTTTCGGGGATCGATTACTGCCAGCATTTCAACATCTGCCATCGCGACTTAAAGCCGGAGAATCTTTTACTTGATTCCAATGGAAATATCAAGATTGCTGATTTCGGTATGGCTGCTCTACAGCCCCACGGATCCCTCCTCGACACTCCTTGCGGATCTCCTCACTATGCATCCCCCGAGATTGTTTCGGGAAAGCATTATGACGGGGGAAAGTCAGATATTTGGTCTTGTGGTATTATTCTGTTTGCTCTTTTGGCTGGGTACCTCCCGTTTGACGACGACAATATCCGAAGGCTGTTGCAAAAGGTTATGAAGGGGCGATTTGTTATGCCGGTTGAATTCTCGATAGAGGCAAAGGATCTAATAATGAGAATGTTGACTATTGACCCTGAAGAGCGCATATCCATGGAAGAGATCTGGAAACACCCTCTTTTGCGGATGTACGCCCCTTTGGATCCGGTCACGGGTGAAGAGACCGACAGGGGTCCGAAGCCTCCACGCTCGAAAGATATCGGACGGCCGGTAAAGCATGGGAGAGACATCGACGACGGGATATTAAAGAATTTGCAGACTCTTTGGCAAGGTGTTGACGAAAATACCCTGATTGAGAGGTTATTAAATAATGTGTAAGTGATCGCCTTACCCTTGAACTTTGGCCCGATCCGTGTTATCTGGGGTTTTTGTGGGTGTTATGGGCCGCGGCCCATACGGGCAGAGGTCATTTCGGTAGTGTGAATGTTTGGATTGTGCGAATTATGCCCGAAAGAGGAACTAACCCTGGGATCCTATTTTCGATCATAGACACAACCAAGAAAAGGTGTTCTATTTCCTATTGTTGAAGTATCGATATGAACATTTGGAAAACTATCCTGGAACCTCCGAAGAGCGTAAAAGCTCCCAGGCATCCAGCAGTTCGGCATCCTCCCATCTCCCTCAACACCGGATCGGCAGTCGACAAGGAAGACGTGCTGGGACTGTAGCAAGGCGTGGTAGACATAGAGAAGATCCTAGTGCTTCTGTAACTGGCCGCGGGTCTGTCGATTATCGCCCTCCCACCAGAGGGAAGCCACAAGCCGAGTCGATCCATGGTGATGACCGTGTAAACTATCATGCACGGGAAAAAGCGGGAGATCGCCTACAGTCCATGAGGGGTAGGCGCAGTATTGCAGATCACCGCAACCGAAATTCTGTGCTTCGGCTGAGGGGAGTGTCCTCTCGGGTGTCTGCAACGGGCTCCATCCGCCACCATCATCACCTCCATGCTGCTAACACGAATAGTACTGGTGGCCGGTATCGCTCTCGGTCTTCACTGGTGAGCCATATAAGCACGTCTCCATCACATTTCAAACCAAGCGGCCATTTCAAGCGTCGTGTTAGCTTCAATCACACTGCTGCTAGTCTCAATAATCGTCATGCAAGAACTGGTGGGTCAATTGCCTCAAGGAAGCCACTACACGACACTGTTTGGGTCGATGATGAGCGCGGTACACGCACTCAGGCTGTCGGATTTGATCGAGAGGATACACCTCGATTTGAACCGAGTCTAGGAATATTCGTACCTAAGGGGAGAAAGGAGAGTATTGATATTACCAAGGGACGCTCAACCCTTTCTAATGATGGAATGGCTTCGAATGGAAAGATTATTTATGCGAGCCAGCCCAATCGAAGAGCACAGCATCCCAGCGAGCAGCAAGATGCAGAGAGGCGGCGGATAGTGAGTGAAGAACTCGAAGCAGCTTGTGATAGGGCTTTTGGCTCTCTGGGATCGCTCAAGACACTTAGTACCATGAGAAGCGGTCGCGAAACTGGCGATATAAGCTCTCATACGGTCGATTCTGTGGAATTTGCTAATCTCACGGTTTCTTCTGCTGTTACCACTAGAGCTCAGCAATCCCGTAAGGATGACGATGACAGACCACTACCGACATTGCCTCCGGAAGCACTTATTAGAAAATGTTCGAATGGTCGCAGCACGCTTAGAATCTTCGATGATGACGAAGCTGACCCCGATAAAGGTTATCTGGACGATGTTCTTGAGCACTTTGACAAGCTTATGGAGCGTCCGGTATCCTTTGCCCTGCCCTCTAATCAACCTCGTGCTGTTTCTCAGGGTGGTAGGCCGCTCAATTTGGCTAGCACTAATAATACTATTCCCATGCCTCATATATTTGAGAAGGAGAAAATTGCTAAACTCGAAGCGCAGAATCGAGGTTTGGGTATTGCTCGTGGCGGTGTTGGTAGCAAGTCAAGGGTGGTTTCTGCACCACAACCAAATCGAAATGTTTCGTTGGCGGGCCGTCATCCAAATAGGCAATCTGATATTCCGCCTTGTGTTGATAAATTCGAGCCGGCCCCGTTGAGGATTCGCCCGAAGAGTGTCGTGAATCGCCATGTCCCCATCGGCAGAGCTGGGGATGGAAGCAGGAATTCGAAGCATTTGAGCCAGCTACCGGTTGTTACAGATGACTCTGTCGGATTTGATCCAGAGCTTATCCTACCCTCGGCACACAGGGACGATAGGCAATCTGTAAAGTTTGCGAATGACGAAACTCGCGCTATCGCTACAGGGGCGAATCTGGTTATGTCGGGTGCCCTCGCGACGGCGGTTATGGATTCTTCGGCAAAGGAAGTCAAGAAGAAGCGTTCCTTCTTTGACGTTTTGAAGGGAAAGAGTAGGATCGCGTCTGAGCCTAAGGATCCTGTGGTTGAAGAGATTATCGCAGGCGGGACCAAGGGTACTTTTGGGCGTCGTTCTGGAAATCTTCTCAAGAGGTGGGCTAGCCGTGATGCTGGGGGCTTGCTGGCTTTTGGGACTTCTAATGGTATGACAGTATAGCTCACTCGACATTTACCGTCGAACAGTAGTGTTTTTCCTGTTTTCCAATGCGCTGACTAGTATCACTAGATCGCGGCGACACCCAAAGCGTTGCAAACGGGCTCACCTCTTGCTTTACGGTCCCCCAGGGCTCAAAAGAGGGGAGTGATTGCTTTGGAGGATTCGAGGAGGATCAGTTCACTAAGGTCATGTCCCAGCGCAATTGGTTCATGAAATTCCTTAACGTCAAGCCGGCTAGTCGCGTGATCTGCTTCAACATCTCGTCTATGGCTACGCGTAAAGAGATCATGAAGCTTTGGAAGGAATGGGTTAAATATGGGTTGGTGATTGTTGAGGATGATCGCAAATCTTTGGTTATGAGGGCTAGAGTTGGAACTCCTAACAGTGAGAATGCCCCCTCCGGTTTAGTCGTGACCCTTTCTCTAGGGGCGTTCGAAAGTGAACAAATACTCACGAGGGTGTTTCCTAGGTCTTAATATTAAGGAGGTTTCTTTTGTGGGCGAGATTCGTGCTTATGGAGGATCCAGAAAGACTGGATCGGGTGTCGTGAGATTCACCCAGGAGAAGGGTGCTGCGTCTTCCTTCAATCGTGTTATTGTAGAGATGACAAAAAAGTTCTCGGAGAAAGGGATAATCCTCCCAGAGGACTAGGCTCTTGGCCATCTCTGATACAACGGTAGTATGTACAGCGAAAGGTACTTTTAAATTTCCTTTCTTTTCTAACGCTGTACTAGATGCTCTGTACAAAAGCTTTTTTTTTTTACAACTTTTTAATACCCCATTCATGACAGCAACTTTTTCTTCTGTACTTGGAATATCTACCTTCGCTCCCTGTCAGGGCATGCCCAGTCTTTGCAAAGGTTTACTGAACCCTCCGTTGCCGGTTCGAGTCATACATTAACCTTTTCATTGCTTTCCACTATTGTCTCTTAGTAAACACCACTTTCTTTGAAGTGTTTTTATATGTACAATAGACCTACCTTTCCGAAGGGAATTCAAACTCTGTTTTTTTTTTTCGTGAATTTTCCATTACTTTCCTTCCCTGATGGATGCTACTGTGGCCTTGGTGTATTGTTTGTTTCAGCTCTTGCGTGTGGCTGGTGAGTCTGGTTTACAAGTTATTCCAGGCCCTGAGCAGCGGGCTGGTCTAAGCATTGAGCGGGCCCAAGGCTCAACTGTTGATGCACAGCTCAAGGAAGTCATTGAAAAAACTCTGGGTCTCTCAGCTAAGATCCCACATTGTAACTACAATTCCTGGAGCGCTTTATATGTAGTTCTCTATCGCATACTGGTGGTGCCGTGCGATCCTCGGAATACCAGGCAATTGGGGGTTTGTGGTATCATGTCGCCCCACCGGACTAACTACACTATACATGCCTGCAGACAATCTCAAACGCGGAAGGCCGATACCCATGGTATTATGCAGTATAAGTTGGTGACTGTAGAGTTCGTCAAGCGTACGGCACCATGTCAAGCTGAGTCCCGATGCCCAATCACACCGTTGTATCAGAACCGGGGCTCACGTGCACGAGCGGTGTATCATACTGTATTGCAGTGTACCGTAGCCCCCCCTACGGGCTAGATTGGAAGATGTATTTACGGTAATATAACGTAATGTACTGCGGGTTTGGCCCTAGTCTCCAGGGGGGGGGAAGAGGGACCGCCAGTGGTTTGAAAAGTTATGAAGGCAATCCAGGAGAATAGGTCCTCTCATTGAGTGAGTGGGGTGCGATACATGCGAGTGGATTGGTCAGGTTTGCTTATCCTGAGGCGGGGGACTGGAAGGGAACGGGGTGGGGAAGGGAAAGACATTTATGGTTTTTCGTGGACATTTTCGGATTTTGCACCTTGTGCTCGGGAGTGATGTATGTACTGTACCAGTAGGTTACTGGGGGGGGGGGGTTCAGAATCTATGTGTCTTGCTACATTTGCTCCGGCGAGGTTTTGTTTTGTTTTGTTCTGTTTTGACGTTTGTATGATAGGTAATTAGCGTTTGCATAGCCAATAATTAACCACCCCTCTTCTGTAGTATCATACCGTATGATGTGATACAAGTATTGGCATTGTTGTTTCGTTTGGGTGGATTTTCCAATCTATATATAAACTATTGAGGTATGATATTTGTTTGTTTTTTGTTTGTTTGTTTGTTTTTTCTTTTCGATTCTTGACACCTCACTCTTCTCCCTCCTCTTGAAGTGGGTGGGTGGTCATGTGCGGTACTGTGCCGTAGCGGTACTGTATGGGTGTCATGCCTGCATGCTTGGGTCACCGATTATATGCATATCATACGGTAGGTACTTTCTCCCGGGAGGGAAGGAAGGAAGGCAAGTATCCAGGAGTGATGTAGTGTAATGGCGGGTTTGCATATTGTGGTTTCAGATAGGCAGGTATTATTATTTTTTTCTTTACCATATATTTTACGAATTCCTGGGATGAGCACAGTACAGTGCTGGCAAACATCCCAATGTCGGTCTGTATATATATATATATATATATATATGTATCAAGATTCCGACTGGGATGGATGGATAGATGGATAGATAGACCAAACCATATTTTGAAAAATCAAAAATTCATGACACATACATAGAGTCCAAAGTATCGCTTTTGGATCCACAGCGGCCCCCGGTCACAGAAACTCTAGCCAGAGAGCCTGCTCGGCCCATGTGTGATACTACAATTATTGCATATATCGTATTATGCCATTCTCAGAACGGCCCCGGCTTCATCCAGCGACTCGGCTTTAATCTCTCATAATCCAACTATCGAATCCTACGGTCCGCCATACGATGGATGGATGGATGGATGGACGAAGGGCATGAAGGGTTCTAAAATTCCCAACACACACGCCATTTCCGAACCCTGAACAAACAAACAAACAAACAAACAAACAAACAGACTTGGTTTTCCCTCCCTTGTGTATCGTACGAGTATCATACTAAACCCGGAACTTCTATGACACTGTATCATGCTGCGGTATCATACCACCGCCAAGGGGGATACGGGAGCTCAAGCGGTTATGCCAATATTATAAACTCCTCATTATACATACACAATCTACCCAACCAAACCCAACCCCATGATATTGGTATATAACGTTTTTTGCTGGTCTCCCAGTTTTTTTCTTTCCTTTCACAGCCTCCTCCTCATATCATACAGCCCCAGGCACAGTGTACAAGTAAACGTGCTTGCTGGTACCTAACCTAACGACAAGACTAGCATAATACTTCTTATATAGGGCAGGGTAGCATAAACTCACGTACGGCAGGAATTGCGTGTCCTGACTAATCAACATCTAATCTAAGCCTTACAGAAGGAAGGAAGGGTGGAGCAGGAGCAGACCATGACATTAATATCCGCATTATTATTATTATTATCATCATCATCATTATTTAGTAGCGGCTGTTGCGGTGAGGGTATTATCCAGAAGGGCGATCCACCGCATGACACCTGTCCGGCCGAACTGACCGGAGGAAACATCATAGCAACACAGTCGGAAGTATGTGTGGGGGCGGTTCGGTGCGCTGCCCGAGGCGTTGTGTGTATGTATCATACCCACCGCACCTACCGTACCTACCGTACCCTGCCCGCCACCACCGCGGTTTGTCGTGCCGTGATGGATTACCGGTACCGTAAGCTGATACGGTATAATATATATCTACCCGTACAGTAACCGCGTTCACCTCGTCTTGGCTTCTGGCAATTGGTAATGCGTGTAAGCAATGTTGCAGCCTGGATTGATGTTGGTTCAGCCTTCCTCCTGTTTCCCTTCACTATATTTTTTTCCTCCCTCCCGTTAGGCTCCACCCCTCCCTCCCTCCTTCCTGCTTCACGGTACGTGAGGCCGCATGGTTTTCTCCCTTTCCTACAGTTGTAAGTCGTAATCCTAGCACGAGCAGCGGACGGAAAAGGGATCCGAAAATCGGGAGTTGTGGGATTTTTACTCTTCTCTGTATAACACTGATTCAAGTCGGATACCCATGGATTTTCTCGGCTCATTTTTTTCTCTTTTTTTCCTTTTTCCCTTGCGATATATCATGTTGTGGTTTGCGAACCCCCCGGGCTTTCGGGCGCCATACTTGTTATCTCACTGCGAGTAACTTGACCCACTCGTACGGTAACCGTTCGTTTACGGCACGGTGCTCCGTGTGATCATAGGATCACACAAGACAGCGCATTTGCCAGGCAGCCAGGAAGGAAGGAAGGAAGGAAGGTACCGTATGTGCTCTATAGTATTGTATCTAGGCAGAGATCGTCAAGTACGTAGAGAGAGGGACGCTCCAGTACATACATTACCGTAAAATGTTGGTGAAACTAACCGGTATGCGGGAATCACACTTGAACGCACATAAACACACATGAGCGCACACACACACACTACACACCGCCTTCTTTCTACCGTACAAGAGTTTTCCCTTTCTGCCTGCGCTACTTTAACGTCTGGAACGGAGACTTCGATTTTGTGCTCGGGTAATTACGATTCCAGTACTATTAATCAATCCCGAATAGGGGTATATTATTCTCGTCCCATCTTTTCTTTCCCCTCCCATTTGCCATCTGAATGTACGGTACGGTACCAGGTAATGTAAGACGGCTGCCTCTGCCGTACCGTACCGTACTTACTGTGCAGTGAGTGAGCTCCTTCCTTCCTTCCTTCCTCCCTCCCTCCTTCTTTTCTTCTTTTCTTCGCCCCTTCATTCCCCACCCCGCCCGCCCCACATCGATTTCAGCACAAGACTTCTGTTGTACGGTATGTAATAAGCAAAATCTAGAGCACCCCACCGCGCTGTGTGGGCGATCATGGCTGTGATACGGGTATTGTAGAGTCACTTTCACCTTACCTTACCTTGCTTTTAGTACACAACTCACTTTCCCATATGATACCTTGCCTTACCCTTACCTCCCTTGTTTTTCCATACTCGAGTATGATACACCTCCTCCTTTCCCGCCCCGCACGTGATCGATAGGTCAACCGACCAACTAACCGACCAACCAACCAGAAAGTCAATCCGATCTGCGCTCGTGTTTGTCTCTCTCTCTCTCTCTCTCTTCCTTACTTTGTTACGCCGCCTGGGTGGGTGATGGAAATTACGGCGCCTGGGGGCGTAGTACATTTATGGGGGGACGTAGTGTTTGGGCACAGTACGATATCATGTTGGTTGTAAGTGCTAGTTGATTGGCCGCTTAGTTGGTAAGATCTGGCTTCAGCAGATAAGATAGATTAGATGGAAACCCGGGGATGAAAACTGAGCTAGAATGGAGCGAGGGGATGACGGGGTATGCAGCTGCGGGGGGGAGGGGGATGCGGCGCGGGTACGGATGACGGGTGGACGGACGGGGCGGTGATTAAAAGTGGCGGAGGCGGAGTCTAGGCTGGCGGCGCGGGAAGGGAAGGGAAGGGAAAGGGAAGGGTGTGTGTGTAAGGCGCCGCATCGGGATCGGCTCACAAAGTTGGGAGGAACAGGAAGGGTGCCCACTGGGTAAAATGGGGTTGATACAGTAGATTGTCGTGGCAAATGTATGTGCTCAAGCATGTGCTTCCCCCCGTTGTTGTTTGCTATTATATTATACGAGTACGCATCCTATCGTGCAAGTACACCACTCAGTCGTTTACTCGTTCGCGAGCAATCAATCGATCACTCGACATGCACATCGCGCACCACGCGGCCGCCCCCTCTGGAGAAAACCTTGTTTTCCTTTTCCCTTTCCTTTCCTTTCCCTTCCTTCCTTCCCTCCCATCATCCCCTTCTCTCTCTTTTGTTTTTTCTTTTCTTTTTTTTCTTTTTCTTTTCGCTTTTTTCGTTTTTCTGTATGCCGATTTCAAATTTCGCATTTTCCGTTTTTGCCGCTGCTGGCGGTGCTCGCACATGTTTTTTTTTTTTCTTTCTCTCTTTCTATTCTGAGTATAATGGTTTGGGGGTTATTGGCGATTGGTTGGGGAGGGGGTGGTGAAACTGATAATCTATCGTTAGCCTAAGTACTCCGCGGGTGCTTACTGTATTACC